AAACATAAATTCCTCGTAAACATAATTAAATGTTATTCTATATCTCCAGAAAGCCAATTAAAAGACCTATGAAAAGCATTTAAAACACTTCAAAAACGCTAGCATTATATATCAACCGGTTTAACAGTTGCCACAGACTATAAAACTTAATTCTTAACTATTATGTGTAATGAAAATACCAAGTAATTAAAAATATTCCACTGCAAAAAATACGACGCCATTTTTCTTTTCCTAATTCGAACATTTTCTAGAAATAAAATGGCCGCCGTTCTTTAAAAGTGCCCGCCAATTCCCGACACCTCGTTACTGAAACTGCCCCAAACGTTTTCGTCTTGTTTAATTAAAAACACGAATAAAAACATTTTTTACTTACTGTTTTATCGAGGTGATATATGGCTTAGCGTTTAAACCTGCCAACTGAAAACAAACTTTATGTCTCTAAAGTTAAAACGCGTTTACATCCAGCACAGAAACAGTAATTTTTTTCAAAAGTTCTTGTTTAACGACTTCCTGTCCTATTTTAGTAGTGATAAAATAAAATTTTGATTGCGTAAGTTATTGTTTCGAGCTGAACCTTTTTTCTTTTGATTTTCGAGTGCGATTCGAATTTATATGATTTGATCAGAAGCAAAACGGATTAATATTTAAAAAATATGGCTACCTTAGCGACCACACTATTATTCGTAATGAAAAGCTTGAAAAACAATAAATTTATTAATACTTGTTTATATTACAATAATTTCTAAATAAAAAAAATCTCAGTAAGAAATGTTTGTTTAAGTATAAAAAATCTGGTTCGATGCCAAAAGCCAAACATAATTATTATAATTATTTATTTGTTTTAAGTTCAAAAGAACATTCCTTCTAAATATTATTTATTTTATGATACTGTGTTGTATAATATTATGAAATATTTTTGTGTAACTATCTTAAAATATGTTATATCTTGTTATGAAAAGAAAGCATCTCGTTTAGAGATCCACCATTTTCATTTTCTTTTTCATTTTTGTATAAGTTGTATTAATGTTAGTATAAACACAACCATAAACACGCAAAAATAAAATAGTAACATTAACTATTTCAAGATAAACCATAGAGTACAATATATTTTTATTGTTTTTTTTAACTGTCATGTTTCCGATGTTATTAAAAAATCAAAACACTAGACATGCTACAATTAACACTTTTTTTCAAATACACCTAAATACCTCACAGAAATGTAACGAAAAAATGACCATTTCCTGGCATAATAAATTAGGTGCACAATCCAATATGGCGTCGTACAGTTGCCGACTATAGTGTTAAGTGAGAATATTTTGCTAGTGTACAAATGTTTTACGATTTATGGGATTTTTACATGCTATTGCTTATGCCTGTAATTGCTTTCATAAGTGTCTTAATTGCTTTCTAAGGGTGTTAACTAATATGTTTTACATAGCAAGTTTTATTCATAACATCGATAGAATAATCAGGTGAATACCAACCGTAAATTGACATGACAAACGAATATTGCTTTTTCGGTTGAACTAGGATATGTAAATAATAGCTCGAGTAAGACAGGAAATCCGAGAAAGTCTAATGAGCTATATATATATATATATATATATAATTGTTGATTTTATTTAGTTATTGAATTATTGAAGTATCCTCTCCATATTTGTGTCTTTTGCTTACATTTGCTAAAATTATTATTTATTACTGTAGTCATTAAGTAAAGATTTCATGAAGAATCACAGTTACGCTGTATAGTAAAGTTAGTTAGTTATTTAACTGGTTTGTAAATCTTTCTTTAGTTAAACTTAATTTTTATTTTATGTTCCTTGTATTTAATAATTTATAAATTAAAAATAAGCGAAAGGGACTAAAAAGAAAGAAATAATGTGAGTTTCTAAATAGGGTGGGGGGCTTTTAAATATATTTTTTAAAGAATATTACGTTTATACATAGCTTAATTGTAGCATATGTTAAATTTGATGTCAAGCATAATGCTTAACATCAAATTTTAGACTATTAATGTCATTTTGTACTTAGTGCGTATTCCAAATTCTGTGTTATGTTGGTTTAAAGTTGGTATAAAGGTAAAATATTTTGCCATATAAATTGAGAAATAGACGAATACATATACTGATAGAAGTCAAAATAATGTATAAACCTTATAAAAGACAGCTTTCTTACTAGACAACGAGTACGTGTTTATTACGACTTCCCATACATACAATAAACTGATAAAAATGTTACACCGAACCCACAACAATCGATACAGTTCACAAGGGTTTACTTAAACAATACACCATTCAAGCAGTTAAACATAAATAAATATAGTTAATAATCTAGTTAACTTTAAATATTAAAACTGTCAGCACATATACGGGCCTGGTGGTTTAGCAATAAAATGACTGCCATGGCTGGCTTGACTCTCACTGGTCGTCTGGTCCTGTTGAAACACCAATACATATATTAATATTATTCTCTTATTGAGTGTAAACCAACTGATTATACGCTTTTACCCACGGCTTCGCTTGTGCAAAAGCTTATCCATACCTTTTGTTTTAACATGTTTGAAAAGGATCTGTAAACAAATTTGTGAGATTTGCTAATATTAGCAAATGATCGTCATTTTTATATAGACTAGCTGGTAGATTACTAGCTGGTGGATTTTGAAATGCGATACCTTAGTGGGTTTGATTCCCGGACCGGGCAGAGATTTTCTGAGAAGAGAAATAGCCTAAGTTACTCCTTTTATAGACAGCTACCTGGTAGTAAAATATTATCATAATCGGTCCAGCAGTTTAGATGATTACTCAGAACAAAGAGACAGACAGATAGACAGACAAACAAAATATTAAGAGTGGTTTTCAGGCATAGGTGTCGTGCAAATAACTGTGTGAGCATGAACATAACCTATTATTTTGTCATTACAAACAGACACTTCTATTTTATTTATTTGTATAGATAAAGTAAATATTTAAAAAGTGAAGTATATTAGTGTTATATAAGTTTCGATTTATCTTATTATTATTAGATGATTAATTAATCAACAACGTACGAGTGTTGTAATCCACGCCATTTACACATCGAAACAATTAAATTGTTTCTGAAAAATACCTCGTGTTCGACGTAGTCGTAAAAATATACCACTTCAGCGTAATCGGCTAACTCTATGGTAGATCAGTGGTTTTACAATTTATTCGAATATAAAACAGCCTATCTAGAAGATCTATGGGCGGACAATAAATCGACTACGTTTAGCACTATCGTACTCGCGGCAATAAACACTTCTGTGCTTTCCTGTACTCGATTTATTTTTTTCCTCGGCAATGGAATTCAGTGTACGGCCATGGGAATAATGGCGGGCTATGTACCTAGTGTTTGTTTTAAAATATGTTTGCAGTATTTAGCTGCGGTGTTGTCTTTTGGGTAATTGTGTATAAAAAAAGCAATTAGGACTCGTTAGTGAAAAATTTAATTGCTATCTGTGTCTTGGTGTTGGTTTTATTATCCTAATGTGGATTAAAAAATGATATTTAAATTATCCAAGGAATTTAGCGTTTTAAGTTTGTTTATTACATATTAATATTAACCCTAGAGACCCTCCGAAGCAGGGGCAGGGAACTCTGTCGAGCATTTTATAGTGAAAATACACAGCTGACACACTCAGTGACAGCGGTAAAGAATTTAGAGTCCAACTGTTGGAGACAATTTTTTCAACGATTTCACATTTTATCTAGACACAACAATGATCTAAAACAAAATTACTTTGTTATTTGTTACTTTACGAAAATAGTTCTGACATTTTTCTTCAATTCAATTCTCGACGCCAATGGTCGCCTTTCATAGTCCACTGCTGGACATAGGCCTCTCCTTAGAAAGGACTTTTTGGCCTACTATACCACGCTGTTGGTATAGGGTTTCCTTCTCTTTGCAATGCTGTTGTCCTGTCTAATTAGGTCCCTTAGTCGGCTCTTACGACTCCCACGTGATGAATAGGGGGACCCCTCGTATTCTTAATCCGTTACCGCACGGATATTTTTTTCTTAAAGTGACTCATTGTAGTAAAATAATAAATCAATAATTACCTACTTATTTAACAATACATCACATAATAACAGAGTGGTACTTAATTACGATAAACAGACGATGAAATACCGTATAAATAACCACATACATCGCTACCTATTTACCGTAAATACCGATTCGTAACGTAACTACAACGGTTATGGCGCACCACTATCATTAGAGCTCATTAAATTATTTATTAAAGAAAATTACAAGCTCAAAAGGGTTATGTAAGCACGCCTACTTTAGTTATATTTACGTGTGGTTTTATACGAAGGGTAGCTTTCAAATAATGGGGTGGTTTATCAAATTGTTGTTTGGGTAATATTTTTAACTGTGATAAGAAATAGAAAATTCTAGTGTGAGAATATTCTGGAACATTGTTATACAGCGCTATCCAGTCCTTTTTTAAAGTTTGGAAAGTTACTCAGGCCATCACCCTACAGGAGGCTGTGTGTATCTTTTACTACATATATATTTTATAACACAACATATAATGAAACACTAGACTAGTGCAAATAAATTTATGCGCTGGCCGAGAAAAGAATCCACGGAATCTGAATAATCCGCTGTAGAAAGAACAAAGGTCGATAAATCACACACACAAATTGCAACAATAACAGTTATCGTTTATCGTTGTAATGTGTTGACGATAACGTTATTGGTTCAAAAACCTCATCTTTTAATACTAATGTTATACCAAGCTAAAAAGTTAACGATTTAACTTTGATCAAAATATTAATAGATTATTGGTCAAACAGTTCAGTTAGATTTATTTTCAAACCATTTTTTAAATATTCTTTTTGATGACAATTTATCGTAATATTAGGACAATCTTACCCTTGTAAAGCTGGAACAGAAAGTATTATTAATTAAAAATTAAAATACCTAATACTTCTTCTCCTTTGTTAACAGGCCCTAGAAGTAGACGAGTTAAAAAGAAAATGAACACAGAAGAAAAGAGACCAAGGACTGCTTTCAGCGCGGCACAGCTCAATAGATTGAAGGTACATAATTCTATATTAATGTAATGCGAAATTGACTGTGTCTTTTAAACTTACTGAACTACGTAACCAATTATGTAGCCTTAATGTCATATAACAAAAGCATATAGCAACAACGGTTGATAATAACGTTATCGTTTCAGTTACAGTAACTATTTATCAATAAAACATTAAGAGTGATTTTATGTTATTAACGCTTATCAGTTTTTAAAGCATTCCATGACGAGTCGTGAATAAGCGATGGTGTTTGCTGCAGACTTACATTATTGTATGAATATGTGCTTATTTTTTTTTTTTTTTGCAGCACGAGTTCGCTGAAAATCGTTACTTAACTGAACGCCGTCGCCAAGCACTAGCTGCAGAGTTGGGCCTAGCCGAAGCTCAGATCAAGATATGGTTTCAAAATAAGCGAGCCAAGATCAAGAAGGCTACCGGACAACGCAACCCTCTTGCGTTGCAGCTGATGGCTCAAGGATTATATAACCACACAACAGTTAACGAAAGCGACGAAGAGGAAGAAATTAACGTTACGTAAAATATCGATATAAATAAAGAAGTGGTATTCTACTAATTTGATTTGGTTTAAAATGGGCAATTTTAATACCACAGTAATAGTATGAGATATTTATTTTTATTATTGTAAGATAGTGCGGTTTGGGGGCGTTCATTAATTATGTGATAATTATGTGAGGTGATATGGTGGTTTTTCAACCTGGTGGTACATTTTTAATCTCTAATTTAAATAATGGATGCCCTTTTATATGTACGTGAATAATGGTAATTTAGTCAAGAGAAACTTTCAAAATTAATTGTGTTTTTAATACAATGACAATGTCTTTACTTGTGTATCTAAAAAATGTCTCGCATTAACCAAATGTGTTTGAAAGTTTTATGTTCTTCTGCCATTTTGAGACTACGATAGATTTTACTGAATAATAAGATTATTTGTACACTTTTCTGTTAAACAAAGATGTTCCTGATACTGTAAATAGAATAAACTTTAAAATGTGTTATTTATTTTCTTTAATCGTAAGGTACATTAGTAGTGAATATAATAAATTATATTGGGTTTCAAATTATTACTATTATTATGTAGATATTGTAAGTTAATTCTTGATATTTTAGGATATTCTCTACGTATTATAATTTTTTTGATGAGTTATCTTGCGGATAACTCGAGATCTCCAAGACGGTATAAGAATATTAATCCATGAATATATCAGTTATAGACTATCACAGGTGTAGTAACTATTTATATTAAAACTATAATGATTTAGTTACAAAATCACAGAATTTAGAAAACCAGTGTCAATCAATTCTTTTTTTTTCTTTTCATCAAGTGAGTGAGGTTATACACAACCTCCTCCCCTGTTCTCAGGGGATGGGAGGGAAGGGGGCGGCACGCAAAGAGTGGCAACGCACTCGTGTTTATCTCTTGTTATGTATACGTCCATGGGCGGCGGTGGTCACTCGTTTGTCCCAAATAGCAAAAACATTGATTGCTAAAAGTTTAAATGTTCAAGTTTGATCTAAATTCTGATTATAAGATGCGATGCAGTAACCAACTAGTATGTAAGATGTGTGTGTTAATTAATTATACAAAAAAAGGGTTTTTATGTATAAAGATCTCGATAATGCAATAACACATGTTTTATGTGTAAAGTTAGTTAAAACCATGTGATGTCGTTTCACATCTGAATTGTTCTTAAATAGTTGCATTTAATTAGTGCCAGGTAGTTTTTTTTTGTTTCGGTGAAGTCTACCGGTTTATATAAAATTAGGCTAAAATATATTTTAAAAAAAAATTGTGTTTTCTTGGTAGAAACAGCATCTCTAGATATATATCAGTAATAATTAATTAATAAATAAAAATCATCTAGAAAGGCACTCAGTGTAAACTACTACAGTTTATGTTTTAAATTATTTTTTCAGATTTGAAAACCTTTGACGAAAATAACTGAACCGTAACTGGCAGTTATTGTTCTCCATACACCATAATATTTAAGGCATTTCAAATAACGAAATGAAAGTAAATCAACAGGTAACCTTTTACAAATATATTTAAAAAAAACGTGCTATGACTTTTTTCGTTATCGTTATTGGAGTAACGATAACCGTTATTAATAACGATACTGTAACTTTTGTTTCATGAAATATCTGTATTATATTGTATAGAAATTATTTTAATTTTACAATATTTTATAGTTATTTATATGTATCTTTTGTAAATAGTTATTAAAAACAGCTATCCTTTAGTCATTCTTTCTTCCATTTTTATGTTCGTTTATTATTTGTAAATATATTTTATTATTCGGGTAGATAACGTGACTGTGCTAGATATTAGATGTATAGAAATATAAAAATAAATTATATTACGTTTCTAAAATTATTTGGTTGTTTTATTCCCAATTTTCCCAATTATGGATAAATTGACATTATCTAATATATAAAATTCTCATGTCACGGTATGCGTGGTTGAACTCCTCCGAAACGGCTCGACCGATTGTCGTAAAATTTTGTGTGCATATCGGGTAGGTCTCAGAATCGGCCAACATCTATTTTTCATACCCATATATGTATATATTTTTTTTCGATTAACAAATTGAAATAATGTATATGGCAACAAAACGTTTGCCGCGTCAGTTAGTATTTTTAGTAAAAACTTAAATCAAATATTCTTCAGTTTAGTAGCCGGCAACTCAATTTATTACAAAAAATCAAGCTAAGGAAACGTACCCATACTACGTAAGTCTATGCAAGGGCATCTCCGTACCAGCTTCTCCCTTCTCCCTCTGGACCACATCCAAAGAAGAGCGACTCGAACGGTCGATAGCCAAAAGATCTCCGACCGGCTCGATCCCTTGGCGTTACGTAGAGATGTAACTTCACTCTGCGTTCTCTATCGCATATATCATGTAGAGTGCTCCGAGGAATTGTTCGGACTAATACCAGTCGCAACTTTCCGCCATCATTCCTCCCTCCTCCTCGCTTCGGTTGCCTCAATGCTGAGGGTCGTGACCGCTTCCTCGCAGTAAGAGTTTGCTGTGGATCACTCGACGCCACCCGTCCCTATCCGCCGCCGAGTGTAGAGCATCGTGGACTGTGGTGTCGAGAGTAGTGCGGATCTCGTCAGTCCAACGTGTCAGGCCTCTACCTCGTGGTCTTTTTCCACCCACTTTGCCCGTGACCATTAACTTTTCCAAATTGCTGTCATCCACATGGCCAAATTTTTATCCTCACGACTTGGATAATTTGCACTCCACCAATGTGCGCTTTTCGCCCTTATTACGCTTATTATAGCACAGTCAATCTGTGGAACAAGTTACCAGTTAGCTTCTCAAAACCTTTAACAAAAGAGCGTACTCTTTCCTAAAAAGGCTGGTAACGCGTTTGTGACTCCTGAGTTGCTTCTGACCCCTCTCAAAAAAAACCGTAAGTGTTAAGGGATATTTCGATAAGTAAATAAAAATATTTCATATGTTACAACCTTATTTATTATTCGAGCTTTATATACCTATCACCAGTTTAAAATAAAACCCGATAACCACCCAATGTTCTTTTTTATGTTAGAGTAGGCAGATAAGCAGACGGGTCGCCTGATGGAAAGTGACTATCGCCGCCCATGAACGTCTGCAACTCAGGAGTCACAAACGCAGCTCTTTATAGACAAAAGCGGACAAGGCGGCAATGCGTTTGTGACTCCTAACATAAATAAAAAAAAACAAAAAAAACAAATGCAGGTCTAATTCAATTGAGTGTTTCGTACAAACTAGTATTTAGAAAAAAGAAACAATGAAAAGATTTGTTTTGTAAACTACACAAAAACACTTAAATTTTAACAAGAAAGAATAAAAATTGCAAAAGAAAGAACAATTTTTGTGTTGTCATATCACATATTTGTGTGTGAGTATCACCACCCCTATTCATCCCGTGGTTGTACGGTATCATCATGTGTGTTTGAATATTTGTTTACGTCAAACAGCTTTACTTATTTTGATAAAATTTGTTATGGAGGTAGCTGACACCAGGCATTAACACATATTTATTCATTCTTTTATCCCAAACAAATGTAGTGTTCCCATGGTATGAGCAAGCAATTAATTAAAAAAAAGGTTACAGTTAAGAGCCGACTAAGGTAGCAAACTACGCAGGACAACAGCACTGCAAAAAAGGAAAACTTGAAACAAACCATATAGATACCAATCGACTGGCCAGCGTTTTTATATAAAAACAAAAAAAAAATTAACCACAGCTAGTTGTTTGAAGAAAAGCAGACATTTAAAAAAAAATAACTCGAATACTATTGATTTTAGAGGAACAAGACTGGTCTCAGTTTATTCCTCACCAAATTCTCTAGAAATCAAACACGTTATGTCTCGATTTCCGATGCATTGTTCTCTACTTGACTGCACGGATGGCGTAGAGGTTTAAGCGGTCGCCTCGCCGCTCCCTACTATTCTGAGTGTTGTGGGTCCGATCCCCACATGCGACGACACTTTGTGTGATCCACAAATTGTTGTTCTGAGCCTGGGTGTTCTTTGTGTCCGTTTCGTGTATACTCGTATTTGTAAAGTTTCCCGCGACACAGGATAGATTCCTAACGCGGGAGTAGTCTTTTTAATAAAAAAAAAGTTACTACATAAAAATACGCAATGCAAGTAGACGGATTACTTTTTCTCGTTCCCCTCTGCAGGCAGTGAACGCAGAGCGAGAGAGATAGCGACTAACGCTTTTCATCGAAAAACTTCATTCAAAAAGATGATGAAGTTTTTTTTTTATTGGGACAAATCCCACCCACACGCCCACCACTGTAACTACTGTACACCAGGATCAACAGCGGTGACCCACGAACACACTTATGACACTCGGGAAGTCCCAGGAAAAAATTAAACTGTCTTGGAACCGGCAACAAAATTAATAAGAAGAAAATTGAAGGAGTTGGCAATACAGTAAATCCACTTCCCTCAGCAAAACGGGAGACAAAATAAAGTGAAAATGGGCATACACCCTTTAAAACAGGGAAGCACCACGGCTACAACATATTATGGGTCCTAAGCTAGCTATATTTGATTTCTATAATATGTATGGCAGAATCGCCGCCTACACTCACGGAAATTCACCCTAGTTGACATAAGATCCTTATAGTATACCGCCCCAGATGTCCCCTGAAAGCTATTCAGCATTATATTACGTTAAATTTACCAAAGACTACATTCCCAGAGGATATGATGAGCAGACTGTTCATAGTGAAGGTTAGGTGATGAGCAATGACACAATGGTGACTCGACTCGAGCTTGCTCATAAAGTTACCATGACCTGTAAGAAATTAACGAGCAGATGGGCACTCATTTTTATCACATGGATTTTACATCATACGTACATGTATAATGTACTTACGTATGATTGAACTCCAGTTTTGACTAGCTTGGAGAAAACTAGCTTCCCACGATTAGTAGAACACCCCGAACAGATGGGTTACCTGATGGTTACCTGACACCTTCAATACAAGAGTCACGCATGTGTTGCCGCCAGATT